AATGAAAGATACACACAGAATTCTAATAAGTAATTTAAAGACTGACGCACCTTTACATTAGTTCTGGCCTCGTTGGTACCACCATCATCATTTTATCTAGAGACGAATCTCATAGGCCCAGCTCGTCCCGTCCACTACACCAGCTGTAGGTGGTTAAATCATGTTTCGCCGCGCTAATCAAATTTCTCTTTGATCCTTGTAATACAGACGGGCTGCTCCTCTTTTTGGTGACATTCACTTGTTTTTAAAAATACGTAAACGTACCTGCGACAACTCCCATAGCTTATCCAGGTATACATTGTCTTCAATTTTGTGTCGCAGTTGCAAGAGAATGACAGCTTTTCCGTCGGCCTAGGCCTAGTGGTGGGCTGATAAATGTTCTAGTCTTTAAAATACTGAGCCTCGCGTGAACCTAAGACGGTTCGCAAACCAAATACTTTCTAGACTGCAGCTTTTCCACGCACTCGATCTTGTGCGCAGAACAAAAAATTCTCTGGAATACAGCTTTTTTGGCGTTTTGGTTGGTGATTTCTTTTCCTCCATTAACAATGTACCACAATATTCCACACACATGCACGTACGGTACCATGTCCCAACTTCCCGACTTCTCTCTACATTCGTGGCACCAAAACGAGAACCGTTTGATTGGTTGACCTTCGTCATAACATTCACCCTATTGCCAAATACGGCATCCTAAAAATTACGTCATGCTTGTCACGGCCAGCGGTCTGCATTCGATTTGACTCACTCTTTTACAAGTCTCTAATTCTCATCAAAAAAGTTTCTCAACATAAACTGACGCTGGTGGCGCTTTCCGAAATGCGCTAATGTACTACGAAAAATCCATAAATTAGAGACTTGTGGCAAGTCTATAGGTGAGGATGAGCCAACAACCTTCACCGTTAATCCTGTCAACCATCCGGCATCTCTCATTCATTGGCGGTGTCTGGCAGCGATTGCTGAACGTGTCGAATCGGGTGTACTTCGGGCCGTCTTCGAGCGAGCTGGAGGGGAAGATATTGCCCATTCCCCGCCATCCAATGAGAAGAGGAAGCACCTAGAGGAAAAGGAGGGCAAACCCAAGCGGAAGGTGCTCCCACAAGCACGTGGGACACCACATTCTTCGCAGGGTTCGATGCCGAAGATTTATGACGCACATTTTCATATGGACCGTCTTCGCCAGGGGCTGGGAGTGTCATTCATGGCTAACCTCAGTGACCTGGAGCGGGTGGAGCCACCCCGAGGTGACGTTCGTCCCGTGTCTGTGGCGGGAGGCATTGCAGTTTACTGCGACCCTCAAACCTACCCCACAACACGGGAAATAAATTTTATCACGAGGGACCTGCACCTCAACGTTGCTGTTGGAGTTCACCCAAAGCAGAGCCTAACATCTGACCAGTTCGATCGGCTCCATTCACTCTCGCGGATGAGTGAGGTAAAAGTGTTGGGGGAAATCGGCCTTGACCATTCCAGGCCTCCCTCTGATTGGTACCGCCAGGAGGGACTCTTCAGACGTGTGTTGAACCGGTCACCAACATCGTGTGGTATGCCTACATCTGAGGGGTATGGCTGGGGACCCCACGGCGGAAGAATGCTACTCGCGAGCACTGGACATCTTAAGGCTGTCCCGTATTCCGCGAGAGCAGAGATTACTTCTCCATAACTACACCTCCACCGTTTCCATCGCTGACGCTTATCGTCATCACTTCCCGGCTACATATTTTAGTTTTTCCTTGGCAGCGAGTGGTTTCAACAGCCAGCAACGACAAGCATGTAGGCATATTGAAGCCATGGACGAACGACGGTTGCTGATTGAGTCGGATGGGCCACATTTCGCACCGGCAGGACAGCGAGTTGGTGCACCCCATCTTTTGTGGGCGACAGCAGCAGTGGTGGGGGAGGTGCTCGGCCAGGATCCCAGGCGGGTTTTAGACCTGACCTGGAAGAACGGTCGAGACCTCTTCTAAAAGCCCGATGTGCGTCCCACAAAGAAGATTTTATGTTTGTTTTTATATTCTGTTCTGGAAATTAATTTACTTTATATTTTTCAGACCCGGATGATTCAGCATAGTGAACATCCGAGAGAACTGCTTTTTGCATTATTCCCCGTTGAAGACATCAGTGTACGTTCACCGGGTTTCCTGTATAATCTGTGACTCAGCGAGCCCGTACGTTTTCCGACTGGTTATCAACGGGATGATGTCAACTCTTTTCAAATAAGGGAGGAGTAGTGACGGCCGCCGTCTGTTCGAGAGACCGATCAACGGTAACGACCTCTAACCCCGGCATCTGTGTATTTGCATATCCTGCCTTCAGGTGTGCAGAGGAGGGATCGCCGAGATCTTGGGGAATTGTCG